GAGAACAAATGACCCTCGAGACTAACTGGCACAATGTCTGCAACAATGGGCACACGCATAACACGTGTGAGGGGGGGCACAAGCCCAGGTGGCGGTGTGCTGTATGGTACCAAGTTGCTGTCACTGGAGCAGGCTTGATGGCATCTACAACCCAGAGTCCCAACAAAACCCAGAGGTCCAATCACTGCCTTCCTCTCCAAGAATGCTCCAATCACTGAGCTCCCTCCAAAGATGCTGGAGGCGCGCTTCCAAGGCCTCCCCAAGAACTGACTTTTCCCCTCACAAGACCAAGCGCTGACATACCTCCAATGACACCCCCACTCCAAGCCCACCGCAAAGACGCTCCCATCACTGACCACGCAATTACCCGTCCCCCCAAACAGTGATCTTTCTCCGAAGACCGCCCCGTCCCTGGCTTATTCCTACCAAGGACTTTCCAATCATTGCCCTATGCTCTGCTCACGGCCATATTCATTCAATCTCAACTAGGATAAGAACAAAACAGGGACAAATCACCCAGACGTGGGTGAGCAGGAGGCACAAGGGGATCATGGTGTCCAAGGATTCATTCGATCACCTCCTAGTGCACAGGAAACAAAGCCAAGTCACGAAATCATGATAGGCAGCCGATCAATTGATCGGCCAATCAATACGTAATTCGACAGAAGCTGCATCTACGTGGACACTCAAAAACAAATCTGCGGTTCCTACTCTAACCTGCAGCTTTCCACCAACCGAGGGCCTAGAATCTAAGCGCTAATACGCTCCAGGTTGTTGCACTCATTCATTCCTCCCCGAACGCATCCCCTTTCTGAGGGCCACCGCCATCACAGACCTTTCTCCGGCCCATTTCCAACTTTCCCTCTCCCTCTCCCCTCTCCCTCTCCCCTCAAGGGCTCCCGCGCCACGAACCCCAAATTGTCCGCCACGAACCCCATTCAACCTGATTCTGCAGCCAGAACGCGAGGCTCTTTAAAAGAGCCTTTAAAGGATCCAACAACCCAAAGGAAAGTCCCTGCCATCGAGTGGATTCCGACTCGCAGCGACCCCCAGACCGGGCGGTGGGGCGGGACTCGGCCAGCCGCGGTCCAGCACATCCCCTTCCGATTCACCAGCCTCACTGCCCCACGTCACTGTCAAGCTGAGCTACTGGAGCATCCGAGTCGACAAGGTGCGGTTACCACGCGAGTGAATCCTTCCGGAGACGGCGCTTCCATTTGTCCTTTTGGATTTTTTTTTTTTTTTAGCTAAAGACCCTTCCAGACGGTGTCGCGGCGGCACCTCTTCACCCGATTCAACCGTAAGCCTCCATCTTGGACGAGATGCCGTAAAACTTCTTTTCCAACCCGAGGTCGCTTTCCGTGGAATGTGCCGACTCGGTCGCGAGAGTCGTAAAAGGATGGCTTTCCGCCGTGTGCGCCGACCCCGCCCCCCGCCCCCCACGACGTCCAACGCCGCTCACGTCAGACGTACAAAGTCCAACATGGCGGCCTTCACTGCGTGCTTGTACGGAAGAAACTCTCAAGTGGCCCCGTGCTCCCGGCCGGCCGCGTTGAGGAAATGGAGAACATCCGGTGCAGCAGAGGGAAGTGTCCTTAAAGGAATAGGAAGCAGAGGGCAATGGGACCGCCGGGAATGTTTCCAGTGATAGATAGTAGGGTTCGGGGCAGTGAGTGTGACAGTCCGAGACAGAAAGCAAAGCGCTCGAGGTAGGCTAGGGGTGACGTCATCTGATGGATCGTGGGGCGGGGCAAGCAATGGGGGCGGAGCTTTGCTGTTGGAGGTGTTCTTGGGTGCCGTCAAATCCTATCGAGTGCGGGGCACCTGGGTTATTGTTAGTACCTCCTGGAGTCGATCCCGAGGCATAGACCCCTGTGCACAACAGAACAAAGCGCAGGCTGACCTTGAGCCGTCCTCACAGTCGAATCCATGGTTGCAGCCGTTGTGTGCATCCATCTCATTAACGCTTTTCCACAGCCATTCTGCTTGACCAAGGATGCTATCCTTGGCCACACACTGGTCTCTCCCGATGACACGTCCATATAGTGAGACGAGTCTCAGCATC